ATCTCGAAATGATCGAGCGCGGTACAGCTCGGCACCCTTTCTCACCAAGTGTGTGGTGTGTGTACCGCTTGTGTGTCTCCCTCAAGATACAGCTATTCTATGTCTACCACAAGAATTCCGCGCGTCTACCACCGAGCTGCGAAGTGAACGAGCGCACTTCCGGATTTCAGTTCCGGAGCGTTTCGCGCCCCGTCCGTTTTACATGATTACGACCCCCCGTCTCTCGTCCTCGGTGCGCACGACGACCTATTTATCCGGCTGTTTCCCACTGTCTATCACGTCGCGCCGTTACCTGCGCGGAGAGAGAAGAACGAACGAACGAACAAACGCAGGCGGGCGGTCGGGCGGGCGAGCAAACGCACGCGCGCGCGCGCGTGCCGCAAGCGGGAACGGCGGGCCGCACACGGGAGACCCGCGTCCTTCCCTCGCGGTGCACTCCGATCGCACTGATTTCACCCCGTGGTGGCGGCGGCGGCGGCGGCGGCGGTAGTGGTGGAGGCGGTGGCGGCAACGGCAGCGGCGCCGCGACGAATTTACGTGCGTTTCGTCATCGACGAGCCAGAGTGGCGTGAAAGGGGGTGCACGAGCGGAGGGTGTAGGACGCAGTAGTGGCGAGGAGGAGGAGGAGGAGGAGGAGGAGGAAAAGGAGGAGGAGGAGGAGGAGGAAGGGGAGGTACGCGAGAAGCTGGAGGAGGAGGAGCAAGATGAGGAAGAGGAGAAAAAGGACGAAAGAAAATAGGAGAAGGAGGAGAAACAATAAGGGGACAAGGAGGAATAGAAAATAGAGGATGAGGCAGTGGTGGATAGTCGCCGTTCGAAGTTGGGATCATCGGAGAACACTAAATGGTCTCGTGCACCTCTAATTGTTGATTTGTCTCGCAAAGTTGATATGATCGCAGTCACCAACGGCTGGGGGGAACGAATAACGACTCGTGAACGAGTTGAGAGTTTCACGGATGAGGGTGGAAAATATGTCTTGTAATTAAAATAATTAGCATTAAATTACGCTACAGCAGGATTATGGTGCCGCTTGGGGTTCTCCGAGTTCTGGATCCGCCACTGCGAACAAGAAGTGGAGGAGGAGGAGAGACAAGAGGCGCCGGCAGGATTCTCCTCTTCTTTTCGTCATTGCTCTCTTCAACGGCTTCAAGCCGCGGCTCTCTCGACGCAACTCCACGAGCTCACGGCCTCGAGTCGATAATTCGTCTTTTCTTCGCGTTAGATTTACGTCGCGACGGATGTTCCGCGGGAGAATCGCGTTTACGGAGTTGGTCGAACGGGTCGAAGAGGATTATAACTCGGCCGTCTCGGCCGAGGAGTAGTACTATATCGCATTAAGCGAGCAGGTGCTTCGGGTCAAAGTTACGCGTTCCATGCGACACTTCCTCTCGCTTATCGAATGGGCTTATCCGGCGCCAAGTCGCGCTACGGGTCGCGGTCTCGATCAATCTAACGCGCTATCATCGCGCTACAGCCTGCACCCTGGACGCGAGCAATTACGCACGTCGGCGCGACGACGCGTCTCGTCGCGTGTACGACCGATTAATCGCGTCACTGAGCGCCGCCGATTAAATATTCTCCCATTATCGTCCGCTGATCCGCGCGCACGAAGGACGATACGCGCATCGGCGGCCGCGCGAACGAGCGAGAGAGCCACCCTCCGCGTCCCACCCTCCCGCCGTGCGCCCGTTCTTTCACTCTGCCTCTCCCTTTCTCTCTTCTTCTCTCCCTTCAGCCCCGTGCCACTCCCGTCTCTTTCCCTCTCGTTCCTCGCTCGCATCGGCACGTTGGTGGATCGATGACCGGCGATCAGCCCGGTGCACGCCGCGACACTCCTCCGCGTACCATCGGCTCGTCGTGCCGCCTGGATGCAGGGGCCTCGACATTTTGACGGCTTCTCTCGGCGCGACCTACTGCGCGCCACCCTCTCTTACCCCTATCCCATCCCTCTCGACGCTTTTCGCCCCTTTCGCTCGTCGCCGCCACTGCCGCCGCCGCCGTCGCCGTTGCTACCGCCGCCGCCGCCGCCACCGCCGCCGCCGCCGCCGCCGCCGCCGCCGCCGCTATCCCTGGGCGCCAACCCCCGTTGCACGCGCGCAGATGCACGTGAATTCGGTCGACGCGCCGTCGATGCCCGACGGCGCAGGGCGCATCGATGCGGTCTCGCCGCTTCCCGGTGATCTTAATTGACCACTCGGGACGCCCGACTGAAATTGGCATCGATTACATTATCGGCGGCTGGTTGAAAACGAGGACGGGAAAACTGCGCCCCGGCGCCTGTCGTGAGCGAGCGGTTTCGGGTGACGATGAAACGTGAAAGCGGGATGTAAAAGACGAAAATTTGAACGCTACCACGTGTAATGAAGTACAACGAGATAACGGGGTTATAATAGAAAATCGAGAAATGAAAATCCTATCAACCGATTCGCTTTTAATCTAGTTTCGCGTCGTATTCGCAAATTTCAACACGATTAATTAACATTGCCTCCACACTCACCGGTGAGTTAAACGCGGAGACAACAACTCACGTTTGTTTCACACTTTGCAGTTTGATCTTTCAATATCCACTCTTCAGGAAACTCGAGCTGTTAATTGGAAAGAATATAATTGCCGATCACGCGATCACTGAGACGTTGTTACGTGCAAACGAGAGCACAGAGCTTCGATATACGCTGCATAAAAAGTGAAATATCAGAAATCCCGATGAATAGTTTCATTATGAACATCGCGCGCGCTCATAATGTGTCTATATGTGTTTGCATGTGTGCGGTGAAACAACGATTTGCGGTTTGCACGAAGAAACGTTAGGATCCGAACTGGCTGCGAGAGGCACGGACAAAAATAATACGTATCGATCTAACAGCTTAACTATCTTTACTATCCCTTGAGCGACGCAGCTGTGTAATAGGTTTAAAAAATTAGTCACCCCGACTACTTTTTCGAGAAAGGTAGAAAGAGAAAGAGAGCGCTTGAAGAACATGCAAGAGAACGTACGAGAAGATAAACGAGATGATAAATAAAATGTACATTCGCTGCATATATTCCAAAAAATAAAAAAGTAATTCTTTCTTACAAAACACTCGATTGAAGTAACTACGATGGAACGCGTGAGATTTGAATTTGGGGGATGATCGGATCCGGCGGAATCCGTCGTCGCGACGATTGGCGCGAATCACGAGGAGGCGCGTGTGATCGGCGAAAAAAATCGAAAAGCGCGTCCCGTTCATCGATCGAAAGTCGGAGGCTAGTCTGAAGAGAGCACCGTGGCGTCGGACGAGCAGCAACAGCGGGGCGCACGCCTGTACGCGCTCGCAGCGTAGCGGGTGTGCGACGTTTCTCTCGCGCACGAATGCTCAGTAACGCGGGATATACGAAGCATAATCGCGCGCTCAGCTCGGCCTCGGTGGGTGTAGGCAGTAGGTAGGTAGGTAGGTAGAGCCGGCGGTCGTGTATCGGGCAGGTTCCTAGAGTCGCGTCGCAATCAATACCTCCGGTCTCTCTCTCCGCCGTTCCCACCCGCGCGTTCTCCCCGCGTCACTCACCCGAGAATATTTCTCCGCTCGCCACCCTGTACCTCGACCCGCAAAACTCGCATCCTCCCGCGTCCTTCTGCTCTTCCTCCCCCGCAGTCAACCCGTGAATCGCTCACACTCGTCGTCGTCGTCGTCATCGTCGTCGTCGTCGTTGTTGTCGTCGTCGTCGTTGGCGACCTACAATCACTAATCCGGGAGACCCGCGATACCCTCGATTTTCTCCTTGATTTTCATCCTCAACTCTTGTCAACTCTAATCAAGCCCCGTGCGATGACGTGGACATGGTAGATCGAGAAGAGATATTTCCTTGGCGCCAATGGGTTCCGTCACGCTGCTATTAACCGATGGTAGCGACGGCGCGCGTAAACAAGGATTCCGCTATTTTCCGGTGTATTATGAACGAAACGTTACATTTCGTCGATGGGCGGCGTTGACGGACGCGAGCGCAGCTCATGCACCGTGAAATCAAGGACGATCGCCGCGGGGGTGAGTCGTCAACGCTAACGGGCTAGCTTCTCGCTTTTCGTCCGCTGATAACGCGGGCCGGCTTATCGCCGGCGATCGATATTATCTAATCCAGTTAGGCTATTTATAGACCATGGCCCGACACTTGGAGACGTCGTTCACGTGACGCAAAAGTAACAGGATTTTCTAATTCACAAGCCGAGGTGGATTTCGACGGAGCACGCGATATTCGCAGCGTTTACCGACATGTCGTTCTCCCTCAACCCCTTCGAATCCCTTGCGTTATCCTTCGCATTCGATCTATCCGCGCAAAGATGCGATGACCTGTCCTGTCGCGTGTCGAATAGTATGGCGCACTTTGAATCGAAAACTTTAGAAACTCCAAATCAGCTAAATATACGAAAATGAGATCGGAGGGTAATACCGATATGGGACGTACCAGGATACTTTCTTTTGTGCTCTGCGTCCACCTCGCGCGCCAGTGCGAAATACTTCTCCTTTGCGTCCTTTTGCATGTTCTTCCAGCAGATACCCAGCCTGGAGGAACAGAGAAAGATGCGCTTTATTTGCAGAATATAAGGTAAATGTATCACAATGCGTGGACTTCAATAATACTGATATCTAATTCTGGACATTCTTATTGTTTTGGTTTTTAAATACGAATATTTAAACTAGAATATAGATTAATATACAATTTAATATAGGACATACATATATTGAATACGTACAAATTTGTACAAACATTCGTATTTAAAAATAAAAATAATAAAAATGTTCCGAATTAGCTATCAGTGTCATTATACGAAGAGAATTTTATGGTAAACATTACTATAGGACTTTATAATCGAAGAATAGATCGATAATCTGCACTAATTCTCTACCTTTTCATATATTTCATACGTGCTACTTATTATTATATTTTTTCTTTCTTCCTAGCAAGATAGATCTTACCAACAATCTGTTCTTGGATTATTAAAATCAGTATAAAATGAGAAAAAATGTATGTGAAAAAAAAATATATTCCCTTTAAGTAGCGTCCAGGCATTGGTACTTTACCGTAATCCTAAAATTGCAATAATCTCACGCTAACCTTGCTCGTTATATACGCAATAAATGCTTCAAGTCTCGAGCAACAAGTCGCGAATTCGCGAGATCTTTCGTTCGTAGACGCTCTAATTTCGCTTGAAATTGTTTCTCGCGACTCATTCCGAGAATCTCTTTACTGAGATTCGTCGACGAGGTAAACTCGGGCGTAAGAGAACGCCGCTTTCGAGGGAATACTAGCCTGACGCTGATGTCCTTGTTCGACTCCCGGGGATTCTCGGCGGCGAGTTTCTTTCGCCACTCGTTGGCGAAGAGCATGAAGGCGTTCGCCGGCCTCGGCGGCCTCGGCGATCGATTCGCCCGCGTTCGCTGCTGCTGCGGCGGGAAAATCTTGTCCGCCTCGCGGTTGCCACGCGATAGTTTCGACTTGCCGACAATGCGCTTTTCCACCGCGTTCTCCTTGTCCTGGTCGTCATCATTGTCGTCATCGTTGTCGTCGAGATTTTCATCCATTGAAGAACACACGGGGAAGGTAGCGTCATCGATCTCCCTCTTCACCAAATGCTTGCCAGCGACGAGTGGCTCGGTTTCCGCGGCTGACACCACCACGATGACTTTCCCGCCGCTCAAGTCGTCGTGAATACGCAGCTTCTTCGAAGAAGCTTCCTTGCGAATCTCGTTTGCTTCATCTGGCGGACGAAATGTGTTAGTTGAATTCGTTTCACTCGAGAGAGCTGTCCTCCGCAAAATTTCCAAAATTTGTATGACACGTTATCATCAAAACGATCTAAAATCGTTAGCCTAACTAGATGATAACGATTTCTTTAAATATTCTTCTCTCAAGTCTCTATCAACGCGGTTGACTATCTTTAATCAGAGGATTGCATAAGTGTCTTGCTTGAAAAAGTAACGCGATATTCTCGTGACGTTACGTCTCGTGAGCGATTGTCGAATCGTGAACGTATCAAGGGGCTAATTCTATTTCATGCTCTCACCTTTCTCTCCGGAAGCGGGAAGGAGTTCGCGAATCTCCATAGCGATGATAACTCGTTGATAGGGCTCCTCTTCAGGAAGGAGTGGACGCCGTGGCGATTCGGTGTATTGTTATGCACGTTTAATAATGCCCCAGAATCATCCGATAATGGCGAGACGTGACACACGAGCGCGACAGATCTTCTGTTGTCGTGGGCGCTGCGTCGGTTGTTGAAAACACGTGAAAGACCATCGCCGCGCAACGATGAGCCGATCTTCTTATTGCTAATCCTTCTGTCGCTTCTCAGCCCCTGTGTGAATGACAGACGCGTCGCCACGTTCAAGGCAGAGGGGCGAAAAAATTTGCCGCGCGAGCAATCACTGAGAATTGAGTAAACGTCATCTTACGAAGAGATCCGCATTGTTTCCAACGCATCTCCGCATCTCCTCGCTGACTTCGCAAGCTTTGTGCGTGAATTTTAATATGAATGCATTACACGGGAGATGCGCCTGTAGCGAGCACAGAGTGAACTATTACAAAGTACTGTCGTTGGCGAGAAATTGCAACAACATGGAAATAAAAAATGCGTAAGTGAGATTTTCCCGTTAAAGATTAGACGATTAGCTCACGTCATAAGTATATCTAGTCTCGTATCTCGCAATCTTATTGATTTCATATTTTATCGATTTCATTTTTCATCTTTCTCTCGTGTCAATGTATTAAAATAATATTGTGTCCGGTATACGTGCCACGAAAAGTAGTTTGATCGCGAGATGATAAGATACATCGTGCCGTGCGATAAAATAGCGCGCTTATTTTTCTTCCTTTCTCTCTCTCTCTCTCTCTCTCTCTCTCTCTCTCTCTCTCTCTCTCTCTCTCTCTCT